AGGATATACATTTTCTTGACAATGGCTGTTTTGTAATTACGTAATATTCCTCTTCATCCTTGGAAATTTTACTATTCTGAAGTCTTTTTGTGTGATTCTAATATAGCCACTCTATCTTTCTTTTGATTAGTATTCACATGGTATAGATTTTCCCATACTTTTATTTTTAAGCTATTTCTATTTTTTGTTTAAATTGCTTTCTTTTGGACAGCATTTAGTTGTGTCTTCATTTTTTATCCAATTCGATGATGTCTGTCTTTTAATTCATTTACATTTAATTTAATTATTGAAGTGACTGACTTTAGGTCTACAGTTTAGTATTTGTTCTCTCTCTTTTTGTTTCTTTGTTCCTTTCTTCTGCCTTTTCTACCACCTTTGAAGTGATTTGAATATCTTTGGCATTCCATTTTGGTTTATCTATTGTCTTTTAGACTAGATCTCTTTGCATTCTTTTTGTTTAGTGCTGTCTTGGGGGTTACAATATTGATAACATTTTACAGTCTGTACAGAGTGAACATGTTATAACATCAAATAAAATATAGAACTCTTACAACCACATAGATATTTTTACTCTCTCCACCTTTAATGTATACTTGTCATGTGCTACAGGTGCATATGTTGAAAACCTACCAGGCAATGTTATGCTCTTTGCAATCATACATATTTTAAATAACCTAAGGGAAATTAAATTATTATATTTACCCAAACATTTTCCATTTCTGTTGCTCTTCCTTCATTTCTGAAGTTCTGTGCTTCCCTCTAGTATTATTTCCCTTCAGCCTGAACAACTTTCTTGTTTTAAAGCATTTCTTTTAGAGTAGGACTGCTGATAATGAATTCATTTAACAGATTTCCCTTTGTCTGAAAATATATTTATTTCACCATCATTCCTGAAGGATGCTTTCAGTGAGAATTGTGAGTTGACAGTTCTTTTCTTTCAGTACTTTAAATATGTTGTTTCACTGTTTTCTGGCTTCCATGGTTTCTAGTGGAAATTTGTACTTATTCAAATTCTGCTTCCCCTACATGTAATGTACCATGATTCTCTGGCTGAGAATCATTGTTTCCAGAATTTTTGTTCTTTATCTCTGGTTTTCCATAGTTTGATTATGATATGTTGGGTGTAGTTGTCTTTGATTTTATCCTGTTCGGGGGTTCACTGAATTTGAATCTATAAATTTAAGTCTTTCATCAAATGTGGGCAGTTTTTAAACATTATTTCTTCAAATAGTCTTTTTCTGCTACAATCTTGTTCTACTCTTTTCTTGTAGGACTCTAATAACACAAATGCCAACATTTTGATAGTGTTCTGGAGGTTCCTGAGACTTTGTTCATTTTTTTGTCAATTATTTTTCTTTCTGTTCTTCAGATTGGATAATTACTATTCATTTGTCTTCAAGTTCTCTGATTCCTTCCTCTCTCATCTCTATTTTGCAATTGAACCCACACAGTGGGTTGTTCATTTCAAATATTGTGCTACACAGTCCTAAGATTTTCATTTGGCTTTTTAAAATAGTTTTCTTTACTGAGAACTTTTCTCTTTCTATCCTTTCAAAAGCGTGATTATAATAGCTGCTTTCAAGTTTCTGTCTGATAGTTCCAACATTTGTGTATCTTGGCATTGGTGTGTATTGACTATCTTTCCCTTGAGAATTGATCACATTTTCCTAGTTTTCCATACGTTAAGTAATTCTGGTCTGGAGTTTTTATGGTGTGACTCTGGGTCATGTTAAAAATCCTCTGGAGAACCTTAAGTTTTCTTGTCTCGGTAGTCAATCAAACCAGTTAGGTTCATTCCACAAGTTCTGTCTCACTTTCTGTGGGAGGAAGTGCTGGTGTCAGTTTGGTCTCACATCTGCCTTAGGCCTTTCCCATGTGTGAGCTTCTTGGGGGTTAGTCTGGGACTTGGCCTATATTCAGTTCTGACATTCTTTGTTATCTTGCTTTTGTTTTCTTCTGTACCTGTGCAGCTTATGGTGAGGTCCAAGACTTGTATCAATTTAGACACAGAATTGGTGGCATTCTTTTATTCAGCTTTCTCTGCTGTTGGAGCTTCCACCATATTCTCCTGCTTCCTCCGAGTGGCCACTTTTCCCAGCCCTCAGGCTAGAGGGACACAGAATGTCTCAGAACTTCATCTGCCCCAAGATTCTACACAGTTCTGTGAAACAAGATGCCCTTGGGGCAAGCAGAGAAAAATGAATGGGATTTTCTTTGTGCTTTTTAGAATACAGGACCATAGTCTCCCTGTTCTCCTTACCAGAAGGATTTTCTTTTGGAATTTTAGATACTTAAGCTGCCATCACCATGCAGTATGGGTCTGAGACAATGGTTGTCCTTAGGGTGAGGGGCCAGGAGAGGAAAAAACGAAACAAAGGGAATTCTCCCATGTCCTCCAGCTCTGTGGGGCCCTTTTCCTGATCATCTGACCAGAAAGACAGTAGCACCTCTTCCAGAGTTCTGCTGCCTACACTGCAGTGCAGCAGCAATGGGAACACCCACAGATCAAAGCCAGTTCATAACATAGGGGAAAAATGGTATCTCACCCCTGTTACAAGTCATTTACCGAGATTTGGTTCCAAGCCTCCTGATATTGTGTTTCCAGAATTACAATAGTCAGGTAGTAGTTGCTTTTTGTATTTTGTCCAGTGTTCTTAGCTGTGTTTAGTGGGAGAGATTGGGTGTAGTGGACTTCCATCTGGCTAGTGCCAGAAGTGTTCCTATAATGTTTTAATTCAAATGGCTGCTTTTAGTGGTGGAAACACTAGTATAGTAATAGGTTGCAGATACTTTCTACCCCATCATTTTATACTAAGTCTACTCTACCTGTATCCTAAGCAGGCTGTGGAAATAGCCAGATAGTCAGGCCAGGACATATTAACCTGCTGTTTATGTAGTGTAAACACTTTGGGCTCTTCATCTCTCCCAGAATGGAAGTCTCATCAGTAAAGACAGAAATTAAATGTATGTTAAACCATGAAACATCTATTATGGTTTTAATTTTGTCCCCCACCAAGGATATGTTGAAATCTTAACCCCTAATACCTGTGAATGTCACTTTGTTTGGAAATAGGGTCGTTGCAGTTGTCATTAAAGTTATAATCTGGTTATACTGGAGTAGAGTGGGTCCTTAATCCAATATAACTGGTGTCCTGATAAGAAGAGGAAATTCAGACACAGATAGAGAAAGAGATGGAAAATGACCATGTGATGATGGAGGCAGAGGCTGGAGTTTTACTGCCACAGCTGAGGAATACCTGGGGTTACCAGAAGCTGGAAGAGGTAAGGAAAGGTCCATCTCTAAAAGAGGCTTTGGAGGGAGCATGGCCCTGCCTACACTTTGGTTTCAGGCTGCTGGCCTCTAGGCTGTGAGAGAGTAAATTTCTGTAGTTTTAAGCCACTCAGTTTTTGCTACTTATTATGGCAGCCCTTGGAAACTAACATATCCCATCTGGGGAAAGTGCATTGTTCAAGTGAATAACTGAGCAGAGTAAGCAGCCCCTGGGAATTTCTAAGTGACTTTGGGGCAGCCCTGGAGACTGGCAGAACAGGCGACATTTTCCAGAGAGTAGAGGACAGTGATTGGCGATTGCTCCAAAACAGGGCCTGTGCCTTTGGCTGGTTCCCTACTGTGGCCAAACATTTCTCCCTGGAAAGGGCTGCCCAGCTGGCCTCTTGCACACTAGCACCACCCACCCCACTCTATTCACATAGGCCCTCTGACTGCTGCCCTGGAGTTGGCTAAGGGATCACAGGGAAGCCACATCAGTTGTTTATGGCTAGACCACAGAATCTAAGGTCTCCCCTGCTCAAAAGTCTGCATGGGATCCCTCTTACCATCCTCATTCCCCTGCTGAATCCTGACTCTTTGCTCAGCACTCAGGGCCTCTAAGACTTGGTCCTACACTCCTGTCCCATCTACCATAGTTCCCAATAGCATTACTCTCATCTCTAACAAGGAGTCTTGTGGAAGTCCCGAGGGCTGAAGTTCCCCAAACCTAGCTCTCATCTGAGACCCTTGGGAACAAGTTACAAAAACAGATCTCCATAGCCACCACAAGACATTCTAATTCTTAAATGAGAGCAAGGGATCTGTATTCTTAACAAGTTCCCTGAATGATTCAGATGGGACCTCCAGCATTGCCCCTCTTTATAGTAGTTGTCCCATAAACTTCTGGGAGGAGGGGTAGGGCAGCACTCCGAGGAAGGGCACAACCAGGGCAGAAAGAAGTGGTTTTGCAGGACAAGGAAGACTTATGGGATTGGGATCTGAGGAAGAAGCTGCCCATGGGGAGGGGGAAATTCTGGTGAAAGGAAGAAGATGGAAGGCATATTTCTGCAGAAACAACAAGGGCACTGGAGGGTGGCCTGCAAGGAGAGGAGGTGGGGCTCATCTGGGACTTGAGGGGAGGCAGGGAGGGTGGGAGAACACTGGAGGCAAAGGTGTAGAACGCCTCCTCTCTCTTTGCTATGGCTTGCATTAGAGGTAGTAGAGGAAATTTTCAACACATAGGTAACACAGAGCTGAATTGGTGGCCAGAGGAACACAAAACGGCCCTGGGGTGGGCATCTTATGGGACCAAATAAAAGGAAAATGCAAACATGCCTGAGGGAGAAGCTGAGGGCTGCAGGAGGATCTGTGAGAAGATGAGGGTGATGGCCTTGGGCCTGGACTGACAAGGGGAACAAATAAGGCAGGGGAGAGATGGGCTGGGAGGGCTCAGGAAGGTCAAAGAGAAAGAAGGGGCTGAAGGTGAGGGTCTGGCTGGGGGAGACCTACGTTCCCTTGCAGAACCTATCACCCTCTTGCTGTGTGATTTTGGAAAAGCCACATAATGCTCCGGCCTAAGTCTTCTCATACTCTAAATGATAACTCAACTGTATAGGTATCCCAAGAGGATAAGATAGGAAAATAGGTTAAAAAGTATTTTTTATTTTATTTTATTTTATAAAGGTCTACAGATAAAAAGGTTAATGACTGCCATCTTTATGATTAGTATTCCAAGAAATCAGATATTATCTTCTAATGAACATGGCTATTCAACCACTCTAGGACAGTGAGAACTCATTGAGCCATCATGTCATAAGAACCAATTCAACATGTAGTCTTCCCAAGGCAGGTTATTTTGTGATAGAATTTAAGGGCATCTATCAGCGTTGAATAGACACTTCTTATAAACCCAGTTGGGAAAAACGTGTTGCAGAAACATTAGACACTTAGTACCTCTCAATAAATGGCATGGTTTTCAATCATTGACACAATGTTTCTGATTATTGTTTCATAGTACTTTGCATGCTCTCCCCATTACCAACTCGTTTTATGACGATGTTAATATACAGATGTTACTTTAACCTGTTTTTTAATTTATCTCAGCTATCCCAAAGTACATTTCAAGTGATTCGTTTATTTAGTAGCACCTCATTTATTGTGAAAGTATTTTCTTTTATCACTGTGAAAGTGCTAGTGAAATTTACACGTGTCTTCTCTTTCATTTCTAAATTCACCCAGAGTCAAGGAGTATTTGCTGTTCTTCTCCTCAGGGCTAAGATCACATTCCTGTCTTTTGTGGTTGAATTGCCTATTGTCATTCTGCACCAACCACATGCTGTAATGTGTCTCTCCGTTGTCTCTTCCTTTTTGTCAAAAGCGTGAATACTGAGACCAGATTGGGTTCACTGTCCGATGAGGGTCACCTCCTCAGCACCCATCAAGCATTTTTTCCAGTAAAACTTGACTCTATCTTTTAGTCCATTTCTACCTCTGAGAATGCTGAAAAATTGTGAAGTTGAATTTACGCCGGATTGCAGGTCTGCATCTGGGATCAGAGTCTTTTTGGTGTATCTATTCCTAAGGGGTCTTAGAGATTGGCTCAGGGAAGGCAGGGTGGGCTTCAGTCTGGACAGTCACTTCTAGCTCTGGTCTTCTCCTCAGCTTCAGGGTGACATTTCCAGTTGTACCTGGGAATCTTCCCATAGCTCTCAGCCAGCTTAAGCTCATATATTCCAACATGAAGGCAAAATCTTTCTCCCAAACTGGCTTTTCCTCCAAGACTCCCAATAATCTTGGTGGCTGTCTTGGTCTGTTTTGTGCTGTTATAACTGAATACCATAGACTGGGTAATTTATAATGAACAAAAATTTATAGTTTCACAATTATAGAGGCTGGAAAGTCCAAGATTGAGGGGTCAGCATCTGCTGAGGGCCTTCGTGCTGTGTCATCTCATGGTGGAAGGCAGAGGTACAACAAACAGCAAGAGAGGCCCAAACTCATCCATTTATAAGGAAGCTACTCCGGCAATAACAAATCTGCTTCTGTGATAACGGCATTAATGCATTTATGAGGGCAGAGCCATCATGGCCTAATCACCTCTCACTAAACCCCGTGTCCCAGAACTGTTGCACTGGAGAGTAAGTTTCTAATACATAATGTCTTGGGGAACACATTCAAGCCATTGCGATGGCCCTCCACGCTTTCCCTCATCCTCCACATCTTGTCAGATACCATGCTCTGCAGACCCTTCCTGCTCAGCCTCTTGGCTATCTCATCTTTCAAGCCTATTTCTCCTGCCATCTCTGTCCAGGCCTCCTTCTTCCCCCTTGCATGATGATGATAGCCTCCTACTACTCTAGCACCTCTAGTCACCAGCCTTGATCCTTCTAATCCCTCTCACAGGCCAGGGTGCAGTTTTGATGGAACACTAGGCCCCTCTCTTGCTCAGCAGAATGCAGCAGCCCATTTTTCTTAAAATAAAGTAACATTCTTTAATCTTCCATTTCAGGCCCCTAAACAGACCAGCCTTACCTTCTTTCTCCTCCAGCTTTATACTTTATCAAGATTAGTTCAGTACTTCCACAAGCACAAAAGTTAGTGGCATAGGCCAGTAAGAGCGTATTTGTTGTTCAGGTGACAGAACTCTCGTTCATTCCACCTGTGGCTTCTTATTCCTCCAGGCTATCAGAGTCTTCTATTCAGCCTCCTGAAGAGGAAATAGAATGTGAATCACTTGGGAGATCAATGGTCCAGTTCTAGAAGTGGCAACTTATGCCTTCTGCCATATCCCATTGGTCAGGACCAGCCACATGACCACCCCAACACACTGTCCACTAGAAAGTATAACCCAAGCCCAGGCTGACTAGGAGAATAAAGACATGGTGAGCAGCGATGCCTTGGCATAATTCCCATGCTTCCCCACTTAGGCTGTTCACCTGCTGTCTTCCATCTGGAGCTTCTGGAGCTTTTCGGTTGCTAAGAAATGAATGCAGTGGATTGACAGAGACTGAGAATAGACCCCTGAAGGCAGAACAGCAAAATGAGACATGGAGAACTGACCTCAGACCTCTGGCAAGACTAGACAGGCTGAAGGTGCTGGGTGCTCAGGCCTACTTTCCTCCTGCCCTCATTTCTAGCTGTCTAAGAAGTTCCCCCCACAGAGTGAATGTCCCACAGGATGCATGGCCTACCATATGAACCAAGGCAGAGCTCTTCAGAACAGCACAGACTCGTGTCAGAGCAGCAAAGTGCCCAGTGCATCAGGCACAGTGCTTGATAGATGTCTATGGACTGAATGACATCCAGAGTTTCAAATAACAAAATGACAAAGCCAAGCCAGAAATGGCTCTATAAGCCTGGACCAGGTTGGAAGTATTCAAAGTGAAAAATGTCACTTTGGGGGCCCCACCTCACTCCTACTTTGGCTTCAGAAACCTTCAATGACATGCTTTCTCCAATGACCAGAGTGCTGACCTCATCTTTATCATCTCCTATTAATCTGGCTTCTCCAAGACAAACTCGTGGTGGTTATAGGGAGGGGGTGTTCCTCTGCTCTGCCCAATCTTCAGAACTCTGGCTGATTCTCATCTGTATGTTGCTTTCTTCCAAGGTAGCTTGTTTGCCTCAAATTCTTCTGGCCTTCCTTTCCCCCTTGGGAAGGAAGAAAAATCATGAAAGCATGTGTGCAGCAGTATTTATTTTTGCAAGTGTTATTTTTGCAACTCAGGTTCAAGCCGCGCTATCCAACTCCTTTTTCTAACCCTCGTCCTTGTTAAGCAATACCTAAGTCATCACGAATGCCTCGTGACTCTTCACATGTGACCTACAGATCCCCAGGGTCTTATGGGTACCCCCAATGTGGTCATAAGGGTCAGAGTCTTCTATTCAGAGCAGTAGGCCAGAGGGTATGTGCTGTTGCTAATAAACGGTGTGTCTTCTTGGAACTTGTATTAGTATCTTCCTTTTCCCACCTCCTCCATGACCCTATCCATTTCCTACTCTTCTCTGCCTTGTTCTGTGTTATGGTGGGCTGTCTCTTACAGAAGGCATTACCCAGTTCACAGGTGGATTTGGACAATGGGAAGCATCTTCAGGAGATCAAGGGTGAGAGGAGAGAGAGGTTGGGGTATTTCTTCCCTTGCTCCCTCTGTGCCTCAGGGTCATATTTTGGCAGTGGGTGCAGCCCTCTACAACGGCAGCCCCATAGGAAGCAGCCTCCACAACTCTGTAGGCTCCCATTAAACCATTTTTGCCTCTTGTCCCTGCAGACCTAAAAGTGGTGGCAATGATTTGTTGATATTGCAAGTCTTTTGTTAGCCTTGGCATTCCTTGGTAATTGCTTTAACCCTGCTCATATTAATGTAAATAGTCTCTTCATTAAATTCCCCTCAAAATCTCAGCTGAGGGTCCCCTCTGTTTACTGCCAGGAACCTGACTAAGACAGTTTAAGATCTCTGGTGATGTAAGATGTAAAGAAATCTGTGTTTCAAATACTGTACTAGATTCATTCCCTGAGAACAGGCTTTGAGAAAGAGTTTTCCTGGGGAGTGCTCTCAGGAGATACCTCTATAAGGAAGTGAAGGCAGCACTGGAGAGGAAAGTGGACCTGCTCTGTAGTTGCAACTGAGCTCTCAGCCAATGCCATAGGTAGGTGTGGAGCTGGAATGGCCCTTTAAATTGGTACAAATTAAGGCATGCTGGCTGGACATTTGCAACATAGGTTGACCCTGGGAGGGGGCATAACTTTGGGCAATGTGGCTTCCTGCAGCTAGCTAGGGCAATGTCCAGGAAGAAACACAGATGTGAGCCCTCAGCAGCTGACTTACCCAGCAGCTGGGGGATGGGTAAGAAGGTCCTAAAGGGGAGATCCAGCTGGATCACCCAACATCCATTATGGTTTATTCCTTTTGCTACTTTGTGTACTTGCTTCTTATAGCAAGAGCATCCCATCTGGTCTTGTTTCCTGGGGAAACTTAAGATAAACTTTATGGGACAAAGTGTTACAAAGTGAAACTGGTCTCACAGGTACAACTGATATTCATCATTTCCCTACTCTGTTATCCATTCCAGTTTATCCTCAGCCTTGTCTAGCACCTCTGCTCATATAGGAGGCTTATCTGGTGGGGTGACCCAGACCTTCACCCCTGAGGTGTCTGGTCTGAGTCCTTTGGTTATCGTGCCTTTCTCAGGCCATGGCCACTGCACTTGTCCACTTGCTATCAAAGCTGGGCCAAGAATGATTAACAGATGCTCCAGTGGATCATCTAGGTGCCATATGCATTCTTCTCTATCTCCACTGTGCAACAGCAGCCCTGCCTTCTCTTGATGGTTAGGGTCAACTATCTATTCCAGGATCATGAATCCCTTCCTTCCTTGGTGGTCCCTTGGTACTTGGAGTCCTAAGTGACCAGGTGGCAGCCATAGCTTACAATTCAATAGAACACTTGCAGTTTTCTCTGGTGAAAGTATCCTCCTCTAGAAACCAGCACCACTGGGCCACAGAGCCTAGAGTTATGGGGTCAAGAAGCACAAATTCTCCAAGGGAGTCACTAGAATTGGTGGTAAGCAGTTTCACTCCTGCTTCCACCTCTTAATTCCTGGATCATGCATTATACCTGTGGAACACAGAACCATATAATGTTTATTGATTTAGGATATATACACCTGCTGGGAATGGCATTCCATTCTTATAGAAAATCATCTCCAAGCTGGTACCTCAGCTTTATCTCTGGATTCAGGGTCCAGACTGCTGACCACTATACCATGGAACCTCATATCCTCAGCTTCATCTCTAAGAGGCCATTCCATCACTTTATCAGACCAGCGACTTCGGGTGATGCAGTATCTGATAGTATTGCTGGATCCCCTGGGCACATGCCCACCACTGCACTTTCTCTATTATAAGGTGGGTCTTTTGGTCAGAGGTGGTGTAATGTGGAATCTTAGCTTTGTGGATTAGGCCTTAGGTAGTGGTACTGGTCAAGGCACCATGGGCAGGAATTGTATCAATTCCTGTCAAGGTGATCCCTGCCCCTTCAAGGGTTGAAGAGGTCCAACATAGTAACTTGCCACTAAGTAGCTGGTTGGTCTCAAGAGATGATGCAGTATCAGGAACATAGCTTTGGACTTTTAGAACATTCAAGTGGCAGTAGTTAGATCAGCCTTCCTAAGCGGGAGCCCATGCTGCTGGGACTGTAGGTTTCATCTCTGCCACCGTGGTTACTCCATTCATGAGCCCATTATGCACTGAGGTGAGCACTGGTATAGTTAATGACAGAGACTGGCTGTTAACTGGCAGTATAATTCTGTGTACATTGCTGTTTAAGACCTCTTCCATGGGGCATGCTCTCAAACGGGCATTCACATGTGATACCAAAACCTTTAGACCTTCACTCTCTCTCATAAATCGATCCACTTCCTCTCCCCAGACATCCTTATCCCTTATATATTTCCAGGATTCTAACAGGCTGTGCATCACTGCCCATGATGTATAATCTTCATCTTATGTTACCTCTTTTCCATAGAAAGTGGATGACCAAGTGCACTCCTGAAGCTCTGTTCGTTGGGAGGATTTCCCAAGCCTCCTGCAGGGCAGTGGCTCTCCTGTACTGTTTGCCTTCTTCTTCCCCCTCTTCCATTAGCTGGATGCAAGGAATTTGCTGAGACCACTGGTGTGAGGAAGTGCAATAGGGGTACCTGGGGGTTTACTTGGAGGTTTACTTGTGTAGTTTATTTGTGCCCTCTAGTTACACTTAGCTCAATCTCAGTTTATCACTGCCATCTCACTTTGTGCCATTACCTAGCTAGCCCAGCCTTGTGATATGGTGCGTCTGTGCCTGACAGAACCCAGCTCATGATGAACAGCCAAGCCATTTTGTCACTTGATGTCCTACGGTTTGGTGCTCTGTTACTACCAGAGTCCGGTATCCTGCCAGGAGCTGCTTTTCCAATAATGTGTGATTTGGCTGAAAATGGCATGACCTTGCTCAAAGCCTTGGGGATCTGCACTATGATTCTCCTTTTAGGGGGTGCTTTAGATACCCCATGCAATCCTTTTCCATCACAGATACCCAGTGCCATAGGGTCTCCTGGCTCATATGGCCCAAGTGGTAGGGCTGCTGTGCAACCTGGATATGCTACAGAGCTTGGGCCCTACTCAAAACTGGCAGACTTCCTTGTCACATGGTAAAAGAGTAAAAGTTGTCATCCTAAGAGTATAATATGCTGCTTTTGGTACCCAAAAAGGTTTACTGATGTGGTGGGCTCCCAAATCTTTGTAGGATGGGGCATATGTCTTACAAAGGCCTCCAATACACTTCCCCTCTTTGCTCATCCAATTTAATGTGATGTTCTGTACAATGTCCAGCGGTCCCAGCTTCTTTCAGATGATGTTATGACAAAGCGGAGGGGAGGTAATACAGCCTAGGGCAAGGCCATGGACATATACTGTTCTTCATTTCATGTGAACGTGAACTCCTTTTGATTTTCCTTCTGATTGAATGCGAAAGGAAAAATCTGCCAGCTCAGTGGCTGCATATCATGTGCCAGAGTCCTTGTTAATCTGTTCTAGCAAAGACACTACCTCCAGCCAGAAACTGTACTTGGATCTCCTATTTGGTAAGGTTTGTGACAGCCCACTGTCATCTGCCATGCCCCATCTGGCTTTTGTAGGGCCAGACTGGGGAATTCAATGGAGATAAGATGGGAAACTATAACCTCTGCATTCTTTAAGTCTTTGAAGACAGCACTCATCACCATTTCTTCTGCACAGTAGTATGCTTAATCTTTATTACCCTGGGGAAAGGGTGCAGTAGGCAGTTTCGGGAACTTCGACTTGGCCTTCTCCACTAACATAGCTTTTACTCCAAGGACCAAGAAACTGATTCACCTGCTAGAGGGAGAATCATAACACTTGGTCCTTACTCCAAGGACCAAGAAATCTGACAACTGCCAAGTGTGTCCATATCAATGATGCATTCAGGGACTTGAGAAGTGTCTACTAGGTGTGTCTATGGCCAAGACTTCATTTATTTTCTGGGCCAAATCCTTTCTTGAACAAGGAGTCCATGGCCACACTTTGTATCCCTGAATATAAATGCCAACTCAGACTCCTTGAAAGGTATAGGTTTTTCTATTTCTCCAATACACAGTTACATGTGTAAATCACCACAAGTCACTTTGGGAAGCAACTGGGGAAATGACTATATTAATACATTTGTCACACTGTTTTAGAGTCCTTTCTCATAGAAACCTAGCCTCTCCTTCAGTCAGGAGGTTCTGAGTCTGAAAACTAGTTCAGGTGCAGAAACTGGGCAAGAAATCATAATTTTTATTATAGTGACAACCCTCAGCTCCTGATTTTATTTTGATTGTAAAAATTAATCAATCCTCTTAGCTGCCCATTTATCTTGCTTCTTGGGTCACCATAACCATATCTCCCGGCAGCTGGAGCCCCTGGAGCTGTTAGTCCTATCTTGGTGCCCATTGTGATAATTGTGCCATCTTGCTTCTGACAGTTGAGTGCAACCTGGACTCTGTTATTTCAGGATCCTATCATCCTTGTTGCTATCAGGGACTCTAGTTCTGTAACACCATCTCCTAACCATCGCTGGTGGTCTATAGTGGACAACCACCACCGAGTTTCCCTATGA